CAGTATATACTTTTGGCTTTTGAAGGTGGACATGGCAAGTCATAGAGGTAGTAAAGTGCCAAGGAAACAGGAACATTGTTAATCTGTGATGTTCTACAAAGTTATTACAAGTATATATTTATGTTACAGTGAACTTTTTGAACACACACGTGGGAACTAAGGGTGTGAAAAATTCCTTATTATACGTTAACTCTGTGCAGCAAAACTCATTCCAGCATAGGCAGCTTTACTTTGTAATGCTCTGCTTTACCTCTGCAGCATCCCTCTGGCATTCACCCTCGTGAATCACAGCAGAGCAGTGCTGTCAGGGCTGCTCTTAAACAAGCAATTTTCTCTCTGCCCACTCACCTGCCACTTCAGTTCATGAGGCTATCACTGACTGTAAGACAAACAATCTAGCAGAGGCGCTCACTGTACTACTTTTCAGACAGGGATGCTCCCAGCACAGAGGAATTCATCTCACTTCAATATTTTTATATAAATCAAGGTGAAAAACAAAAACTCAAGTCAAATTTCAAAAATAATAAACTGAAGCACTGTAAGAGCAGAGTTTGTTTGAGATTTGGGTCGGGTCCTCTGAGCAGCAGGAATGGGGCTTTCTCCCATTGAAGCAAGGATTCAAGTTTCTGCTTAATCTGACATGGAGGGTGGTTTGGCACCTCGGTTTTTGGAGTTTCGGGTCTTTCTTAATGCTGCTAAGGAACTGTAAAGATAGTCTTTTAAAGTGGAAGGCAAGTTAATTATTTTTGGCCTATGGTATCGTGCTCAAAGCCATGTCCCAGCTTGAAGGGCAACTTCCCACTTGCTGGCAAATAAGAGGGAGAAAGTTAATAGAGAGGTTATGAACAGATAGCTCCTTGCAGTGCTAAGGGGATAAAACAAGCAGCTCAGGAGCACATGAGGCTTCACAGGCTCTGGAGGAAGATGGTGGGGGAAGAGAAGTAACCCATCTTGAGCTGGTACAGGGGGGCATCATCTTCATTGAGCACAGGTTGGCTGCTATCTCAGATTAGGGAAAAGAAAGACTAGATGAAGAGGCCACTTCTGGAGCTCACAAAGGAACAAGCTGCTTGGTGAAGAAATCTTTTCCCAGAGTCAGTTATCTGTTCATCCTCTAGCGAAATGCCTGTATCACAGGTCCCAGAGCACTGGTGATACATAGATAGTGAGATACTGGGAATGGTAGTCTTAACGTCCTCAAGTTTGTTCAGATGCAAGGTTCTCTGCAGTAGTGGCACAGGCTCCAGCTAGCAAGGACCATGACCAAGAAAAAGGTCAATGTACAATGTATATGGAGTGCATAAAGTGTGTGTGTGTATATATATGAATAAAGTATATCCAAAGGAATATGTGTTACCTTGAACTTTCTGGAGAAGCTTGTGGTGTTGTTTTGTGCATAACACATTTAACTACCATCAACCCAGAGATATTAAGAAATTTTAACTTTGTTGAAGAATCAGATAAAAATTGTTTCCTCTTGCAATTTTAGTGAAAACTAAGTCTTTTTAAACAGTTCCAAGGTATTTGTGAAGATTCAGCAATGCCAGTTTCACAAGGGAAAGGCTCTCAAGCATGTGTGCTAGGCTGCTTCATGAGATGATGCAGTGAAACCAGAGAAAGCTCAATCTCTGTTTAATTTTATGATTATCTGCTGTGTTATGTGCTGGAAGACAAGTGCTTACCTTGTATGTGGCTGGGTTGTGGCAGAAATGACACTGGGATGCTGGTGCAGAATGCCAAGCACTTAATTTGAAGACAGTCTTTGCTCTTTGGAAGCAATTATTAGGACTGCAGTAGGAGGCAGCTGGTCATGTAGATGTAGCAATTATATTCATCTAATGTATAACAGTTAATACATTGCAGCTCAGTGTGAACTAGAACCCCTTGTCATAGACAAGCCTTTAAGTATTTAAATACCCAGGTTCCTCCTATTGAAATGTCCTAAGAGTCCAACCTGGCTTCCACATGGTGACTATTGTAAGTTTTCCTCATGAAACTGCATTACATTTCATCCTAATTAACGCTGCTGCTGTAGCCTTAATAGGAAACATTCAATTAAAAAGTACAGAGTCTGAGTACCCACATCATCTCCTACAGGAATTAAATCACTCTCAGCCTTAGAGTGTTCACGCAGCTGATTTAATTTGGCTTCCTTCTCTAGATGGTGGCAGCAGCGTAGTGGTAGTAAGCTCTCACTCTTACTACTTGTGTTCTACTCCAGAGTTACACCCGTTTCGAGTGCTGTCAGCCCTCAGAGTAAAGCAAACACGCTATTTCAGTAGCAAAGAAATTGGTCAATAAATAGCAGTTACTAGCAACAAATTAAGATGAGAGACATTTTATTATGGAAATGGGAATGAATATTTCCTACTGTGAACCTGAATTTTTTGTTGAAATCAAATACATAATTAAGATTTTATTATGCACAGAAAAGGTTAGAAACCTTAACGTCTTTTGTCCATAAGCCAGGTATTGTAGTATGTTGATATCCATGCTGTGAGTTCCCCATTAGGGCTCTGCCAGTAATTTCAACCTGGCATCTAGACTAAATTGTCTCCCTAGGAGCCAAGAGAAACACAGTTGATATGTGATCTCAGGCACAGGCCTTTCTTCAATGAATAAAAGCACTGTCACAGCTTACGAAATTACATCTGCTGGTTATATGCTGTGATCATCCCTGAATGAGGGAGAGGGCAGAGCTCATCTAAGTTATGGCACAGACCGGTATTCCAAAGGAACTTGATGGGATTTTACGCGCTCTTGTAGCTCCATTCATGTCTCAGCTGCGTGACAGAAACTGAAAGCAAGGTAATGATTATGATGTGTCTGCACAGTAATTTCCATGTAGGTGTTAAGAAACACGCACAACACACAAATTACTGGCTAAAGCTTGCTAAACAGCCTCAGAGCAGCGTGTTCTGTGAATGGAGGTGAACAAATGCAACAGGTGTCTGTCGTGCAGTGCTGAAAATGCAGTCATCTGATCTCTTCTGCAAGCAGGGCTGAAAAGGAAGCCTAGTCCCCTGAAGCCCACAGGCTTCCCTTAAGGCTCCCAGCTTCAGCGGCCCAAATAAACACAGTTGCAGTGTGAGATCTGAACAGCATATTCCAAGCCGACCCATTAGTCTGGTGACTGGTTTTGTAAATCCCTTTAAGATCACCATCTAGGTTTAAGTAGCTGCATCTCGCTTGGGCACCCTATCAGCCTGATGCCCTTTGCGGTGCATAGGTGATAAACCTGTAGTGACATGGGGGCAGATGGTGCATGGTTCTTCTTCACTGCCTGGGGGCTGCCAACCCATCTTGGCACGTGGTCCCCCACACTGGGTGCTTTGCCCCATATGTGGGCACCTGAAGTAGGTGGTGGCAGTGCTACTTCCTGCATGCACCATATGTGGTGTTGCCCAAGGGGCTGTGGGATGGATGGGGTTTCAGATGTGCTGCAGGACTGTTTGCCCGTGCCCAGAGTTGTGGGGCCAGTGAGAGAAGGAACCTTGAATACTCCATTACTCATTCCATGTGGCAAATAATAGTATCTAAATTATGCGCTGTTACTCAAGTTCTGGCAGAGAATGGCTCCAAACAAGTGTTGTGTTTTCCATTATCTCTTAATGTGAAGCTTCAGCAGTGGTGAATTTTATAATCTGTTTCTAAACCGGACAAAATCATCCTTTATGACTTTCCTATTGCTGGAGCATCTGTTGCCACCTCAGCCTGAGCTCTGTAACCTTGTGGATTTTTTTTTTCCCCTTACTCCATTCCTCATTTCCTTAAAGAGCTGATTCGTTGTGATTTATTGGGTACAAACTACAAAGCTAAGTATTTTTCAGGATGTAAGTTGTAGTGGTTGTGAGAAGGAATAAGACTGTAATTCTCCCCCACTTTATTTTAGTTAAGTATTTTCAGAAGGGAGGGGAGGATGTGTTCTTTCCATTAGACTTCTCCTTTCTTAATCACCATTCCCTAATTAATTCCCTGGTTAAATATAAAGCAAGCATTAGCTTTGAATAATGTTTTCCTGTGTGATTAAGTAAAGAAGAATTCCTTTTGTATGGTGACTCATCGCCGGGGTATCTGGAGGGAGCCTCAGGGTGGATATTTGAGACTCTGGTCCCAGGTGCTCCTGTACCTTTGAGCTGTGTTTGCTGTCAGTCTAGAGGTGGGAGGCAAAGGTGCTATCACGTATCAGTGGCACACAAAGAAAACTGTCTCTCTTGTGAAACCAGGGCTTTGGTTTCTCCTGGTGGAAAACCGACTCTGGCTCCCAGAAATGCAAATCTACAGCTAGGAGAAATACGAACGGGCATTCTTGCTTTCACAGTGTCTAGAACCATCTCTTGTGGCGTGATGCATTTTCTGTGGTGTCCAAGCTGACCCAAAAATGTACCTTGCCTTTTTACCCAATGTCTTCTAGTTCATGTCCCTGAACCAGTTTGCAAGCCTTTGACTTGCTCCAGTACAGCTGTGTTGGGTCACACCACAAACCACATGTCTGAAAGAAATGAGGTTAAAAATGCAAGGCTCTCAGACAGAAAAGGAGGGTATAGTGAATGAGGGCATGGCAAAGAGGCAGGGGAGGGCAGGTTTTAAGCTGACCAAGCTTATTTTACTATTGAAGAAACATTGTCTAACTTATCCAGAGAATATAACCTTTTCTTTTTCCTACTCTACCAGCTTATGGTGTTAATTTTTAGCTCATGGCATTAATTTTTAGTTCTAAAGGCAGTTTTAATAACGATTCTAAGTTCAAATGTTGCTCATAGCTCAAGATGAGAAAAAGAATGTGCCTTTGTTAACATGGCAGCAAGAAATACATATGGAATATGTTTCATATAATGACATGAAAATGCCTATGAATTGACTGCTCTAACAGTGAAGGCTGCAGCATCTAATCTCTGGGTGTTGGAAAACAGGCATTTAAAAATACCCTTGGTTTTGATAAAAAAGTTCAGCAAAGAGAAATCCCACTGATATTTTTTCCCTTTTCATTTGTTTTACAGGCATTTCCCTGTATTTCAACAGGAATTTATGGTAAGTACGACCTTAGATGTTGCTTATTGCTTGCTCGGTTTTTCTATTATTACAATTTTAAACAGTCATATTTCATATCAGATGTCATTTTGGAACGTAAATCTATTTATATTGTGTTAAATAACAGAGACCCAAAACCTTTGAATGTGACTAGATACCAGGGTGCTGATAAGTGAGGTACTGTTGTGCAGCCCTTAGCACAACCGTTAGCCTGTGAGCTGAGACCCACAGCTGTGATTACACTTCTGCAGCTCCAGTAACTCTTAAACTCACTCCTGTGGCTTCAGCAGGGAAAAATAGGCTTCCTGATGGCCAAGATTGGGTAAAAAGTGTATTTTCCTCAAGCAAATTTGCTAGAAAAGCATGAAATTGTCTAAGCTCCCTTGAGTTGTGATTCCACATTTTTAGTTTATTAATTTACATGCAAATGAATGCTGCCTGCAGAACTGGAGGGGGAAAGGGTTATTACAGAATTTGTCACTTGCTTTGTTGTAATCTTAAGGCAATCCATCACGAAAAGTCAGCTGCTTTTTGGTTGACATTGTGGAAGAAGCGGGCATGATATTTGAAGGAGGAGGAAGACAAGCTGTTCCATATTTAGAAAAACAGGGAGAAATTTGGAAGGATGTGCACGTTACCAGGGGACAAAAATATTGTTTCACTTTAAAATAACAGAGGCTGATTTTTTCCTTTCATTTCGGTTCAGGAGGTGCATAGGTTGGATTACTTGTACAATTGAAAGGTTTTAAAGAAACGTGATAAGCAGCAATAGATTCAAAAAACGCAGTCATCATGTAACACCGTAGTTTGACATAGCTGCCACTGTATGAAAATAACACAGTAATTTTTAGATAAAGTAATTTTAGTTTTGTCTAATCATGCACTGCAGATGTGGGGGGAAGTGACAGGAATATTTAGGGTTCTTTCTTCTTTTTCAAGGACTTCTCATTTGAAATTGACTGCTGATTGTAAATCCAAATTAGGCTTCAGAAGGTAGAATCTAAATACTTTTGGGTCCTTTTCTGCTTGAGTTGCATTTCCAGTAGTGCAGAAGAACACACAGATGCCATTGCCACGAACACTGGAACTCGCTGAATGTGGTTTCCAGTGAAAGGAAACGTTTTGCTCTGTGTTGATCCTTAGTTCAGGTCCACTTCTTGAACTTTGAGGAGAGCTGTGCATTTTAGTTCTGGACTCTTCAGCTTCAATCTCGATCTTTAATATAGACACATTTTTGTTATTAGTTTATGAAAACAGGCAAGACGTGGCATAAATATATGGAAATTACTAGTAAGTGGAGGTTACAAATAATAGGAGTTCATTAATGGTGGCCTTGGCAGTCCTGGGGTAGTGGTTGGACTTGATGATCTTAAAGGTCTTTTCTAACCTAGTTGATTCTATGATTTTCTTTTACAATTGGCCTAGTTAATAGAAGAGGTTTCAGCAGGTGAGGAATATCATTCCCTGAAGTCAGTAAAGAAAGTTGGAAAGGATCTCCAGTAGGAATCTCTAGTTTTCTTTTCCTGAGGTACTGGCTGCTTTTCTTGACGTTAGCATTGATTTTAACTGGAAAGCTGTGGCGCTACTGAAACATTATGTAGTGTGGCAGATGCTTTTCAGTAATTGTTTGCTGTTTTCACCTTTGGAAATGAATTCAGACGCATTTCTGCTAAAATCCACTGCTGCTCTGTGTTGGTTTGTTTGTTTGTTTGGAGAATGCAATCTCTAATTGATTTTACTGTTTGCATTTTAATAGACTTTGTATTCCTCAATGAAATAAATGCCTTCTTTCCAGGCTCTCAGACATCCCGCCTGAAAGCAGTAATTAAACAGGCAATCCTGCGTCAGGCTTCAGGTGTCAGTGTTTTCAGGAATGTTTGATAGCAGTTGCACTGCTAAAATTATGCAGTGTGATGTGTTTGAGGTGTAAAGTACACCCAAAAGCCGCAAAGCTATGCTTTCATCTTCCTGGTTTTGTTTGGGTTTTTTTCCCCTCCATATATGCACATTCCTTTAGATCAAGTCAGCGTCTAGACAAGCAAGTGGATCAGCTTCATTCCTGCTGGCCTTGCTGATTAGTATTGCTTCATGTATCTTGCAGTTAACACTGGACTATCTCAATAAAATGTTATTGAAGGAACATACTGCCTTGATTTCTCACCTCAGATCCATATGAACAAATGCTGTCTTTAACGGGAGCCATTGGCTGAGAATTGGGTCAAATTTGCAAGAGATGAACTGAGTGTATCCAATTTAGGAATCTGAATTGTGTTCTGCTTCAAATTCTTGTAAAGGCTTCGATTATTTGCCTTTTCTGTTATTATCAGGAGAGAGCATAGTCATGCTTCTCTGGAAAGCAATCCTTTCCTGTTTGCATCACTGCAGAGCACTCCTTTCCTCCCATATAAAGAAAAGCGGGAAGAAACAGGCAAGCAAGCCTCTTTCCGAGGTTTTGGCTAAGGGCAGATGGCTTTTCATGAGAAGGGTCTTGGATAGAGGGAAGGTCTGCCTTTCCTCCCCAAACACTTTCCTGACACTCCATCTCCACCCATAACACTGTGGATGTTCCAGCTTGAATGAGTTAAAGCCCTGAGAAGGCTGTTTGCCATGAAGGCACTGTGCCAGGAGACAAAACTTTGGTTTTAATGTGCTCCTATTTAAAGAGCGCTGGCAACAAATTCACTCATGAGGGATCTTTGGTTTGGGAGTCTGATAGCTTCAAATGAGGGACTAAATCCTTAAAAAATGAAGTGGAAAGCAACCAATGCTGAAAGTTTGTAGGGACTGCAAAACAAGTAAGAGCTTAAAGGCACTCAGGGGTTTGCGGAGGAGGTGCTATCTTTTCCTAAGAGATCCCCGTCACCTCTAAAAATGCTTATAAACTGATAATCAGAGAAAGAAAAAGTTATGAAGAGTCATATCCCCATGGATTCCTGGGTTACTCTCTTCTGTTGCAATAAATGCTTTCCTTTATATCAAAAGTGTGAAGATTCCTAAACGAAACTACTCAGGAGGAGCAGAGAGGCCTTGCAGCACTCCTGTATCACTGGGGAGGTACCAGAGTATTGAGCAACAGATCCTCCGGAGTGGTTCAATAACACTCAAGCAAGGCACTCTTAACCTTACCACAGCTTCTCTCAGGCCAGCTACGTTTTTAAGGATTTTCTTCTGGTTTGTCTCTTTTTTTGCCTTTTTCAAATCGATTTTATTATCATCTGTTTAAAAAAAAAATAGTAATAAAAATAAATCTACTGACAAATATGTAATCCTGAGGGTAAAAACTGTTATTTTAGGCTGTAGTGTGTCAGATTTTCACCTTATACACAGTGAATCACCATTTACACGTCCACTTTCCCCATAATTACCATCTCGTTATGTCTGAGGTACTGCCAGAAGGAGGGAGGGAAAAGAAGCAGCAACTTTCCTCAGTAGATTTTATGGCAGAACACCTCATTATAACACCTTTAAGAAGCTATCCCCAGATTCTGGTGTTTGCAGCCTGCAAAGTGAACAAGGATGTCTGATATATAGTGATATATAGTGCTCCAAATCTTACGAGCTGTAAAATTAAAACAAGGCTCTGCAGATGGATATGAGAAGACGGGAATTTTCATGTTTGTCACAATACTCTATTGAGAGGTAATTATGGGGTCGGCTGCATATGGAAGGAGTTGAAGACGTTATGGTCTATGCACACCTATTTGTTACTTTCTTAGTGGTATTTTAAAGTAATACAGTATTTGGCTTCTTTTCCTAGATACTTCTATTGGCAACATAAGCATTTAAATGTTATTTTAAATCTAAGGGAGGGGGAAAAGAGAAAAGGAAAGAGGGAGGGAAAGATGAAACTAAGAGAAGTCTCCAGTTGTTTTTTTTCTTTGTCTCTGTGTAAGTATAGCTGTATATTTTGCCTTAGCTTGACTTTCACTAAAAAGGTAACATCTGTCCTTTCTGAGAAGATAATGGCAGCTCTTAGGTTTTGTTATGAATATATGTTTGCATTTCTTTTAAAAACACAGAGAAAGGGAAAGAAAAAGACTTGAAGCCTTGAAAGTGCAGAATGTCTGCGGTGATTTAGGCAGTGGAAATGCAGAGGTTCACCACGTTTTAAACAGCTTTACTGCATTGGAATAAGACTTGTTTCTTTTAGAATCAGGCTGCTTATGCTTACTTGTAACTTTTGGCCTGGTCGTGGCAAAACATTGCAAGGTTAAATTTATTATGTGTTTCTAAAGGAGAGTCTGAAAAGCAAGCTTTGAAAGCGAGGAGAGAAAAAAAAAAGCAGTGTGCAGTGTGTATCAGAAATAGAATCAGATAATACGCTCTCAAGGCAGGATGCAGGGAGGTATCACAGATCCTCTGCTCTGCTTTGTCTTTATCTGGGGAGAGAGGTCCCTTGTTGTAGTGCCAGCTCATGTCACAGCTGTCCTGACCTCCGGTGTGTCCTCCTCGGTATCCAAAGAACAATTCATCCTGCCAATCCTCAGAGGGCTGCGAGCGTATCCATCAGCTCTTCTCCCCGTGAGGTGATCCCAGATAGATTATAACAAGGGATTAACCGACAGGTGCACTACTGAAGAATTATAAAAGCCCTCTGAAAATCTGAGTCAGAAGACTAAACCGAATGTTTTCTAAGGCAGAATAAATTCCTGACACAGGGCTAAAGGTTGAGGCAATCTATTTCCATCTTTCCCATCTGTTTTGTCTCATTTTCTGTTGGCATTTCGTTCCTAAGATTATATGTTTCTTTAATGAGCAATTTTAATAAGGGTTGCACTGCTTCTTTCCAAGGTAGGAGTTAGCTGCAATCTTTTTTAGAACAACTATACACAAACGTATAGTAAGTAACTGTGAAGCAGTCTCATATTTATGTGCTGCTTGGTGCTTTGAGTCCCTGTAACCATCACAATGGCCCAGTGCTGTACATGATCATCAGCGTTTGAATATTATGATGTCAATTACGGTGACCTAGGAAAATGGATGTTATATAAATTCTCTGT